TAAATGGCCATATACAAAGCAGTGAAACAAACTCACAGACGAAATTCCCTACTTACACGTTGCTCGACGTAGAAGATGGGTGCCATGAATCATTTCACAAGCAGCAGGGAAGGCTAAAGATTTTTTTTTCTGTCGTTTTTCTTTTTCGGTTTCTGCTGTCGCTCCCCATCTTTTACTCTTTTCGCTTTGCTCGCGAACACCGATAAACTTATCAGAGAGGTACTATCGTACTGCGGGTATAAATCATGCGCTCCGACCCCACTAAACTACTGTGCTCATGACTAATGAAATGGAAAGAATACCTATGGGAAAGAAACGCTTCTTCAGATTGCAGAAGTTGACGAGTCCAACGACTGTCGTGCTGCTTATCATCGCCTTACCTGCGAAGCATCGATTCAGAAAACCGGTAAGAACTCGTTCATAGCGAAATGCATGGATTTTCTCGAGGTGGAATCCAGGGTTCCGCCGATCATTCACGGGGCAGGATTCATCCGCTCTGAGCAGAGCTGTCCTTTTCCGAGAGCTTTTTCCGGTCGCCGAGTTCTATGTGACTCACCTGAATGGAACCGAGTTCAGCTCTTCTTCTCTCTGAACACCCACAAATATATGAACAGATTAGACGCACATGCTCCTATGCATTTTGGGTTTTATCGTAGTTGATACCTGCCTATACAGGGCTATTCGTAGGTCATGAATGTATGTATAAGTGAATGTATCCAATAGATCCCGCCGGTTTTCTGCCTGTCTCGAGAGGAGGGTTCCGGGCGAGCACGTAGCTCACTGGAGCTTTGCTTGTTGAGATGGCAAGAGGGATCATCGAAAATAATAAGTCGAAAGTTGGTTTTCTTGATCCACTCAATCAAAAGGGAGTGATAGCGTGAGCGAAGGGGCGACCATGAGGACTCCTCGAACCCATCCCCATCTCTGCTCGCTTCGTCTATCTGCTTGCCGGCTGAGGAGCGTGGTCCGCTGAATCGTGAATGACACTGTTCTCAATAACCAGTCGTCATAACCATAAAAACGAATGACGGTCGGCTAGAGAGCTAAACTAGACTTCGTCAGAGCCTCACCGAGTTTGTTCCGGGTGGCAGGACCACACAGAAACCACCATTAGCTTCGTCACTACAAACAGCACCGGAACAAGGTGAGGCGGCGACTGAAAGTTACGCGGAACGTCGTCGGATCATTACGGGAATCAACGGTGAGATTTCCCGAGGAGCTCGAAGGTCGACTGCCAGTCAAAGCTCCCGGAATAGTGGGGACTGTATCCGCAAAATCATATTGAGGTCTGGGTGGCTCGAGATTTGATGACACTTTCGCCGATCCAGAATTCCCCGCCACCGACTCTTTCTGAACAATAATCGGTTCGGCTCAATGCAAAGTTCCCCTCGCGCGCCACGGTATGGAATCGAGCCGATGAGTTAGCGTTCGATCTGTTGCCTCCATCCTCCCGGGAAAAAACGCCGATCTTCGCTGAACTGCAGCGACCCACGATTGGTTCGAGCTGACATTGGCTGCTCAGCAGAACATGACATGACGTACTCCTGAAAGAAAAATTACGGAAATATTTTCCGGTCTTTGTGAGCGTGTGAACCAGAAACAACACACACGCGAAACAGCAGCCGAAAGAGAAAGTAATGGATGCGCATGCTATGTAGAGTGGAGGGAGCTATGTTATTAATGATCGCGCGCAAGGGGGACCAAAGAAAATAAGCACGGTCTGTCGATGAATATTACCAAACAAAGAACAGAATGAGCAAAAATAAAACCATATCAATCATTGCCTCTCCGGCGGCAGAGCTATTGTGAACGCGCGCGCTCATGGTTGATCGAGACTCGTCTTGGGCGGTGAGGAAAACTCCATCACGACTCGTCGACCTCAATCCCGATCACGGAACGCAACAATGCCATCGTTCCGACTAGCTTTCGGAAATCCTCCGACGTCTTATTTTTCAGGCTGTACCCCCCGACATGAAGAGTACAGCTAAAGATTCGGAGGCGAGAAGTCGACGAAGAATCCCGAACGGCGATCGACATCGACCCGAACGGACGGATTTTCCGCGAGATGGACGGAGCTTCGTGAGACTTGTCGCTCCTGTCGAAACGGAGTTCCCTCCGGGGTTGAGACCGACCATCGGTCCTACATCACAGGAATATATCCCGCTCAAAGACGGCAGTCGTCTCCGACTTCCTAGAACACGTAATTCCCGTGAGGATTGCGGGGATTCAAGCGATCGACCGGATGTAACCACAATATTCCGCTGAGACCACTTGGGCTATTAACTAATACCGTCGAACGGATCCAACCATCAGGATAAATATTGACAGCGAGGCTCAGCGGATCGATATGAATGGTAGCGGTTCAAGGGCGACAAAAACGTGAAGATACCCTAAATATTATTCTATTCCTCTCCCGCGAACCTCCAACTGACTCTCACAGCTCACGAACATTAGAAATGGCTTTGGTGGAGGTAAATCGTTTTTTGTTTATGTTTATCCCGATTCGAACCGTCATTGGTTAGTTCTTAGTGTCTCGAGAACCATTTGGAGTAAGGAGAAAAATCGGAAACCCTTTTCTGAAATTGTCTCCCGTCAGGAACATCACACCCAAGTTGAGCCGAAGGAACGAGCAGCGAATCGACGCGACGCGGTGATTTCCGAGCGTTTACGCGAGAAATTCGACCAGAAATAGTTTGCGTTTCCGCTGAGGGCGTTGCTCTTATTTTGTCGCGTTTGTCTCCATTCTTTCTCACCTTCTCAGAATCCGGCCGCCCCGACCGAGGCGAGGGTTGGTCTTCAGTCAATCATCCCTCAGGTGACCCGACGTTGTATGGTGGGATAAAAGTTTCGTACCTTTTAATTGTGGGCGTACAATAATTATGCTCGATGAGGAGTCGGCGGAGCGATTCGTTCCGTGCCATGGAGAACGGTGCAGTGTCTTCTCCTATAATTGCCAGTCTCCCCTGCCCGATCCAAAGATCATTTCAGTCAGTCTGTTAGACAGCAGCAGGCTGCTCCATTTTAAGACGGACGTCTCACCGAGAGTGTTCTCCCATGAAGAGCACGCGCGTCGCTCACTCAGTTCGAGCCGCGGGATCGCGGAAGGATTGGTTTGGTCGGATCTGAACGCTGTTGCCTCTTTGCGCTCGCCGGTCGACCGACCACCGCCTCAACAAATGCGGAGTCATTTCTCGCACCCTTCGTGCACTGTGGCATTAGATCATCTCACTACTGTCATCTTCTTGCGTGGGTTGTGTGAACGGAGGAGCAACAACAACAACAGCTATGGCGCGCGGCTACGGTGCATTAGCGGTGCAGCAGACGCGGTAGCCGTAGCTACCTGTACGCTGAGAGTGGCTCGAATCTTCGTGAAGCGGACGGGCCATCTAGACGCGGACGGAACGTCGTGCCCGCGGGTGGGGGAGAAATGGTATCGACGGGAAGCTCTCGTTTCCGCCGACATTCGAGTCGTACTTCGAGAAATTTCGCTTTTGCAGAAAAAAGGGAATCCGTAGGGGAATTCCTGCTCTGTGCGTGAGGAGAATCGACTTCAAGACGCGTCGGCCCTCTTCGTGAGATGAATTTCAGCCGTGGTACGCTCCCTTCGGTGAACGTACTTCGACAGGAGTTCTGTAAAGCCCTGGTCATCATTAAATCTCGTTGGCAGGAAGACGGCACTTGAGGAATGAGAGAGCAATGGTGGAATGACGGAACGACTAAACTGTCGCGGAGCGATTCCACGCTGCAAAAGTGCGGCTGTGGTCACGCGAAACTGTCAAGCGGCCTCTTCGTTTATGCATCGAATGAGTCAAGCTCCTTTTGGTTGAGCCGACGCTGTTCAAATGGAGTAGAAGTCGAAAGAAGAGAAAACGAGTCTCCGAAGGTCAGGAATTCCTACGACGGTGCATTGAGGGGTGTCTCATTGGAGGAATCTCGTCCTGGGGAGATTTCCTCCGGATAGAATCCACTCGTGACACTTCATGGGTGTACCATATCCAAGTGAGGGCCACGAAGTATGAGCTGTGTAGTGCACCCGTCGGATCTCTTTGCTTGGCCCGTTTCCTACAAATCTCAGCGTCGCGTCGTACCCATTGTATTGTAGATTATTCTGTCTCAGGCTGAACAAGTCGATCTTGATTTCTCCCCGGAAAGCGGAGTTCGAGTGCATGGTCCACTGCAGTATCGAGGGTATTTTGGTGCATGCTGCTTTGAGCAGGGTCGTCATGTGCCAGCACAAGATCTCCTCGATTCCCGCGAACCCCCCGGCGTCTAGCGTTAGATGGCACGCGAAGAATGGGAAGATGCTGTAGAATCGGAGAAGAGATTGAGAAAAAGAACAATGGCAGTCGCAGCTGACACTCTTCACCTGCGGACACTGAAACAGATGTCGCCCGTTCTCAATTAGGAATGGATCCAATCGGCCGCACTCGTGTGTCCGCCCGCTGGCCCGTCTCAAGCGTCCAGAAGAAAATCGGTCGCTAACGTATGCGTAGAAAAATTTCCATAAACTTCTGAGACCGTGCACACTGCATTTTTCAATTTACGAAATGTTCCCCGAGCGCTATCTATTCTCGCTTCGGCGTTCTCTGTGAATTCTTGACTGGGAACAGATCGGGAGATGAGAGCTTCGTCCAAGCAGCCATTCAGAGACTTGCGAAGGAGTGCTTCTACGAGGGGGATCTAACGTGAACAGTGAACCTGTGTGCACGAACGTCTGCTAAGGACGAGCGGTCGAGGACCCGCCTATGACGAGGGCGAATCTAGCGCTGTATCTTCTAGCGATTAAATCGAGAAAGGACGTTCATGAACAATAAATTGTCATAAGAGTCCTGAGATCAATCAAGAGCACAATGAGGCCGCGTCCGAGACTCGAAGTAGATACATATTTATTAACAAGGAACTGAAAATTCGATTGAGACCAGTCAATGCGGTGCGACCTCGATCGGCCCCGTCTGATCCTCCGGAGGTCGCATCGCGGCGATTTCAAGAGTTTACCAACATTAATGTACGACTTGATTCAATGGCTCGGCCCGAGTCGATGTCAGATCGATTGATTTCTCTATCTCTTCGTCGAGTTCCCCCACGAGCACGACGTTCTCGCCTCGGATGATGTACAAGCCCATGGGCACCTTCTGAACTCCATCTTGGACGCTGAACACTCGTTCATGGCTCTCCTGAAGAATGATGTTGATTGTCTGATCGAAGCCTGAAAGGAAAAGGAAAGAATCACACATTACGACCGCGCTTTCACCGAGAATCTCATTCGAGCGCTGACTGCGAGCCGTGACTGTCGGATGGTAGCTGGTCGGCTCCAGCGATGAATCGCCAGAGCCACAGCGGCGAAAATCGACGCGATGACCACACAGAGAGCTCGCTTACAAAACGTTCGAGAGAAAGAAAAAACTGTCACCCAACTGCAGAGAAGTTCACCACTGACTACGCTTGAAGGCGCATCAACTTACCCGGCCCAAGCGAGTGCGGGGAACTCCTCGACAGCTGATCGCAGACTCAATTCCTGTTCACACAATAGGCACCAATAGCAATGCTTTTCCTTGTTGTTGATGTCAACGCCGTCGCCGCCGCCGCCGCCGCCAACGCCATTGTCAACGTTGTCGTCGCTGTTTTTCCGCTCGAGAATCGCTTTGTGAACGTTGTACTGAACACACTCAGGACTCGACATCGAAATTTTGTTTACAGCTTCACCCGCGGCCTCTTGGAGCTGCTCCGGCTGCCGCGTATCCAACAAATAGGGTATGATTGCGGAGAGCAGTGGAGACAAGTGCTCCTCAGACAATTCCAGCTGACCGGAGTAGTTGCCCACGGATTCCAGGAGACTCAGCTGATATTTGAACACGGACGCGTGACGATAGTCGGCGAAAGGGGTTCGACTCGATATCAACATCTGTTTCTTCAAAAACGCGCAGAATTTCGGCCAGAGCTCGGTGACGATCCGAGAGGCAACGAAATTGCGGCTGGTGCGGCACAACACCGAGAGAAGATTTAGGGCTTTGACGGATAAAACGAAATCATGCGAAGATTTCAACCGGTAGATTAGAGCCTCCCACGCCGAGTGCACCAAAGGCAGTAGTTCTTCTTCGAAGGCCTCAATCGACGAGAAGCAGTCAGCGGACAGCGAGAAAGCCATCGTGTGAATCACTAGATCGCCAGAGTGGAAATTCACCGTCGCTTGGAGTATCTTCTTGCATATTCTGACGTCGACGGGAAGCTCCTTCCTTCCCTCGTCACCTAGGCTGTTCCCCCCGTGGTCGGACTCCTCTTCGGTGTCGCGTTGCGAGTCCCGCCACATCTGCGACGGATCGGGATCGTCTGTGGCTTCTTCAATGTTGTCGAACGCTGCCTCCTCTAGCTGTTCGCTTCGCAAAAGTGCGGCAGCGAGTTCCTCGAGATTTATGGAATTATCTTTGATGGGCGGTACTCTGGGCGACCGTGGAGGGAACCGTTGCTGTAGACACCTCACGACATGACTGATGGTGGTCATCGCCATAAGTTCGTCACCGCAGGAGAGTTGGTGGATGATTTCATCGAAGAGTTCTTCGAAGTCCTCGTAAGCTCTTCCTGGAAGAAATTCCAGAAGACCCCGGCACGCGTCGTGATATTTCACCGCGTCAACAAGCAGGAGTTCACTCAGCTGATGACGGATCTCGTCCGAAGATTCACAGATCACATCTTCCAGGTTCGCGCGGTTTCTGTTCTGAGATATCGCGAATAGCGCGTAATAGGCGCAAGAGTTCAACACGTCGTGTTCGCTCCGGGTCTGTGCGAGGAGAAACAGCAGAACCGGGACATTCGGATGAGACGTTTTCTTCAAGATGTGCCCGGATGCCAATAAGAGAAATGAGCCGCAAAGCAAATCTCCGACGGTCGTCGGGGAAACAGGAAAGAGATCGAGTAACATCTCAATCAGATCGTCAGCCGCGCACCCTTCGGAGTCTATGTCCACGTTCTCGATGAGCAAAACGAAAATTAACGCTGCCTCGGCATCGTAATGAAAATCGTGCCGACGATTCTCCATGATCAGATCTCGGCACAGATTGTGGTCCAGAGCTTTGGCGAAAGTCCGACAGAAGTCTTTAAGGGCGCCGAACGCTTCTTCATCGAAACAGTGGATTTGTCGATGGACATTCCTCAATGGACCGTCGTTATAAACTTCACCTGCGCTGAGCCTCAGCGCTTGACGGTCCAGGGCAACCAGACGGAAGAGGCAAGAGAAGAATTTCCGCCTCGAGAGTGAATTGTTGAGCACGCGAAGAATTGTCCCCGGATTTAGCCTCAGGAACCCGTGAAGCTGTCGTAGGAGAGACACTTTCTCGTTTCTCGAGCCAACAGCTGATATTCTTGGCATGCGCGTCAAAAGCTGGTCGAAATATTCGGAGAATTTCTCCTCAACAGAAATGTCTCCCCCCGCCTGTGAGAGCAGCTCCTCGAAGAGTTCCGCGCGAATTCGATTGGGATTCTCAACTGTCAGGAGAATCTCCAAGCACAGAGGAATGACGATTTCGAGACGGCGCGAGCAATTGCTGAGTAGTTGGATGGCGAAATACTTGCACGAACTTTCGCATCCGCTCATGAGCGGCGGACAGACGACCCGCTTCAGGGTCGTGGCACAGTTCAACAAGTTTGGGGTCGCCGAGTTGTAATACTGCTCACCCAAGTCGTGCTGGTCGCTCATCACGAGCGTTATGGAATCGGTCAGAGCCTCGAGAGCGACGTTGAAGATTCTTTGGCTTTTCTCGCAGTAATCCATTACTTGTCGCAACAGGCCGCAGACTATTCCTGGCAGGAAACCCTTCACGATATCAACAATCGGCCTCTTCCGACTCAGATACGAAAGTGTCAGGCAACGGATGGCTTTCTGCTTCAAATCCTTGTTCTTCTCGTCGATCGAGTCAACAAAAACTCTGAACAGAGGCGCCAGAATCGACGCACTCTCCGGACCGGTGTAGACCTCGAGGATCAGCTGTTCGTCGATCGACGAAAAAACGGCTGACATGAGCTCCAGGAAAGATATCTTTAGTTCCTCGCTGATCGGCACTCCCGGAGAACAGCAAATGTACATGAGGTGCGTGAGGAGAACGTTGTGTAAGGCCGGAGCGTCTCTGAAGTCCTTCCCTAATCGTTTTATTACTTCGCGCAAAGAGTCCATTAGCATCAAATCCAAGCGCTCGTTCCGGGGACCGTTTTGTATTCGTGACAAAAAGGGCAGAAGAATGTGTTTCTGATAACCGATGAGAACCTTATCGTCGCAAGCAGCTACTTGAGCGGCAAAAGTCTCGACGTCCTCCGCGGTACCCCGCTTCAGCACGAGCACACAGTAACGACTGAGAACTTCCATGAGGACTTCGTTCCACAGATTCGAAAAGCAACAGAAAGCACAACTCCCAATCAGAGACCTATCGCCGGCAATAGGCGCCAACAGAGGAGGTTCCTCCTTCAAGGAATTTCTGTACCTTTGAGAGTCCCTACGAAATTCCTTCCATCAGCCGTGACAACATGCACCAGACGATTCTTGTATCCTTCCAGGGAACTTGCCATGTCAGGCGATAATTTAAGTTAATCCAATTTCGTCCCCAAGTCACTATAGCGTTTTCGAGCCGCGGCGAAGAGGTTCGGTTCGTGATAGCAACGAAAGATGCGGATTCCGTCCGGGAGAGCCTTGATGTTTAGATATACCGAAACGGCTCACGTGGCTGCCTGAAACGTTTTCGCGTTTCCAGCGGCTCTCTCGAAACGCGACAGAGAGAGTCCATGCAGTGATTTTGATTTCTCAGCGTTCCTAGCGACTTCCTGAGGACGGCGTCGAAGGAATTCAAAACTCGCGCTCAAGCCAATATGGCGCTGCCCACGTGCGATCGAGCAATAACGTTTTGTAGTTTTGCCGGTATCTTTTTTTGAGTGTTGAGAACTGTGATAACAGCTTGGATAACTTGTCGTAATTCGGAATTCCTCTCGAGAAACCTCTTCGAGGGGTTTGGATCCAGAGGTAAGCGTCCTCAGGCGAATTCGCGACCAACTCATGCCTTACACGAAAAGACGCGCTCTTTTTTCCGCAGGCTCCCAGCCCTACTGGGTGTTGAATCGGGTTTTGTTTGTGTCAAGGGGTTTTCGGACTTTTCGAATCTCGATTGCATCCCTATCCTCCGATACACAAGCCGTGGTTTCCGACGATGGTTCCTGATGTCAGGCCGGGCCGTCACGCAACGTCAATACTCACTTTCGACTTCCCGCGGTGGATTCCGTTTTCGATAGCGGTGCCATGTTATGTCACCGGGATAAGCGAATTTTCTCCCGTCTTGACCCGAAATTCCCGAGAGAAGCTTGAAGAACAATCTGCAACCCAATCTGCGAGAATCTCTCGTTCTTCATTTGTTGAGGGCGAACGCAGCGGCTGGCGGCTTCAATTTTTCCTCCGAAAACTGAGCGGAGCAATCTCAATTTTTATGTTTATCTTTCCAGAATGGCTTCAACCGGTCAGCGGTGTCCGCTCTGTGGCGATTCGCTTCTGAAGTTTCTCTACAACCCGAAGGGAGATTACATCCTGAATTGCTCATCGCGCGTCTGCCTCTACGGAGCCCTCCACGCGAAGGTCTATCATGCTTCCGAGCAAGAGCCAGCGGCTGCCACAGAAGTTACCGCATCAATCATCGATGGTGCTCAGGGAACTTGTGCCGTTGCCGTTCCGTTTACTTCGAGTTCAGGCGACAGCGGCGGTGCCGACGGCATTTTCACCACCACCAATGTCGACAGCAACCCAAGAGACGTCTTCAATGAAGCTTCAAATCAAGTCGACTTGTTTTCAACTTTCGAAGAGATGGATTGTGCGACTAGGGGCGACTTCCACTTGATCGGTACGACAGGTTCGACGGGCCCGTCGCTCGCTTTCCCAGAAAGCTTCGATTTGTGCTCGGAGGAACGTGATGAGGACAAGGATATGATAAATCAATGGGTCCGTGAACTGTCGGAGCAATCGAGTGCCGCAGCTGTCCCGATTCCGGTGACCCAACCGGTTTCTCCATTGCTTGAGTTCCCGACGGAAGTCTTGATGAATCCCGCGGTCAAAGCGACACCGGCTCCAGTCCCGACGCCATCGTCTCCGGCGAGGACGACGGCGAGGAAAGTGCGTTCGAAGTCGTCCTTAAAAGACTTCGGTCCTGGGGCCTCAGCCAGGCTATCGGTTCCACCGGGATCCATCAAAATCGAAGCGCGACCAGTCAAGATGGTCGCCAAATCGAAGAAACTCCTTGTCCCAAAGCTTGAGAAACCAACCCTTAAGTTACCCGCCCGTCTCCAAAGAAATCAAGCGATCGCATCAATACTCAAGAGCCATCTCGGCGCCAGCGACGACGTCCGATCGGAAACGAGCTCGGATTCCGGAGTTCAATCGGATGCGTCGTCGGATCTAAGTAGTTCCTCATCGTCACTGACCCCCATCCAGCGGCTACTTCATATCGAAGAGGCCAAGAAACGATCTTGGGGCGTGACGGGCATGCCCGGATTCAAACCTTCCGCCACCGCGTCGAAAGGACGGTCGCGGAAGCGACCAGCTGTCACCTGAACGGATAGATTGAGTGAAGAGATTTGTCTATTCCGGTTAAAGATATTGTTCAATGTGTCTGTGAATTCCGGACACTCTCGGATAATATTATTAATGTAAATAAAAAGGTACCGTATGGCGCTGAAGCCGCGCTGAACACGCTGTTCTCACTCGCTCCGTTGATAAGCTCCCAGCGTTCTGAAAAGAGAGAATGACGCCCCATGGAACGCTTCGGTCTCGAATGAATCCCCTGACTATGGAGGTGGGTTGTACCCTATTCGTAATCCCGGTCGCGTCACGATGACGGTAAGGAAGCGCCGCCTCCGGCGCTTCCGTTTTTTGAGTCGCTCGCGACCGGTAGCCCCCCTGCCTCAGCATTTAGGCCTAGAGGGACGGAGGTTCAATTGCATTGAGATACCCACGTCCCGAGGATCTCATGCAGCCGAGAGAAACTACTAATTGAGAAAACTCCTCTCTAACTGGGGACAAAGGCCCTCTCTCGTCCCTCGATATCGGATGCATCGTAAATAGTGGCAAGCGATTCGCCGCAGAACCGAAGGGAATCTATCCCGTGCGAGGCAACACATTCTTTTTCTTTTCCATGTACATACAATTCGAGTGAGTATACGAGCACTCATGGTGACGGGAAAAGGGGGAGGAGAGCCAGTTGACGGCGACGACGCCAACAATAACGGCAAGCTGTAACTTCTTGACCTGTCAGGAGGACTCACGTTCTTTCTGTTGTGTAGGCTCGCTGTAAATAAATATGTAGAAGAGAATTTATCTCGACAGCTGCTGAATTTTCGTGCTTTCAGCATCGGCTCAATTGGTTCACCCGTTTCCCTCCCAGCGCTCGCGTTCCCCGAACTTTGTCGTATTTCAGACAGTCGGCGGAGACGCGCGCTCATTTTCCGGAAGGAATCCCTACTCGCGCACCACATCGTTTCCTGAAACAAGCATGCGCACAATGCCGATCTTGCTCGCTACCGATTTACACCCACAATAAGAACAGCTAGGAGCGGTCATCGGAGCAGCGGGAACCACCCAGGTACAATTTCGTCAGAGTTTCCAAGATGACAGGGATGGTGAATCGTAAACGCATGGGCTAATCGATACTTGATGTTCGGAAACTCTTGTTATTCGGGAGACACAGAATGTGGATCTCTCCTAGAAATCTGCGTCTGAGACGCCGCGCGGAGCAGTATCCTGCCGATCTGCATCTCGGCGTCGCTTCAGAAGCACAGATTTTCCTTTCAATCGAAATCGTAGACCCTCTGATCCCTATGGGAAGTAGCGATGAGTGATGAGCCAAATCGAGTACGCTTGGAGCTCACGCAATTAGTCTGCGTATTTGGTACCAGTCCGCCGGGTGGACGAAATTCGCTCTCTCCCTGATTTTCCGAATGAGCGAGTGAGCAGAGAGATTCCCCCATCGGCGGACGGCGTACCAGATCGCAGTTTTCTTTCGTCGAGGAATTGACAGATGCCGGCGAGATTGAGAATGGTTGGTAGCGAAAGTTATCTGAGGAATTCTCGTCATACCGACATGCTCAGTTATCCATCGTCTTTCGATCTACCTCCCCATCAAGTGTTCGACCCTGAGAAGAAATCTGAGACGTCTGACTGTTGTTGAAGGTGGTGTGGTTAACGACTGGATCATTGGCCGCTTGACAGAATCGCTCACTTGGTGGGTGGGTGATTGGCCGACCGGGCAGGTGGGTGTTCGGATGGCGACGCTCCTGCCCCTTATCTCCTCTCTTTCCCCGGGCTTCGCTTGTTTCCACATTACTCTCATTTTTTTCGGGATTTCTTCGTTCTCGGTTTTAGCGGCTCGCTGCTGTCTCGCATGTCTTGTCTAGCCGCCTCCGCTCGCTGTCACTCTCTAAACATAGATAGTGGAAGATAAAGCTGTAATTTCGCCATCTCTTCCCGTGCCTCGTAAAGCCCAGTATCCCGTTGAGCTTGAAAGGCGCAGCGAGAAAACGTGCCGGATTCCAGCGTTGTCATCGTCGCCTTTCTTCTTGTTCCCTGGCGAGGATGATGACGACAGCGACGACGGGGAAGCCGATTTTTTTTCGCACAGGTGGCGGAGGAGGCTCTCTTCACCACTTTTCTCGATGCAGGTCGTTCGGCGGCGGCGACTTAGGTGGCGACGACCACGAAAGGACAGGGGTTCGCCGTGGTGACAATCGGCCAGACAAGACTGGAGAAGGAACAATGACAACAACACTCGTTTACGACTGTGTTCGTATCGGAACGAATGAGCGACATTTAGTACCCGAACTCATCCTATTCGGGCTTCTCAGTTTTCCACGAAACTCCTAGCGGGTGGCGAATTTGTTTGCGATTGTATGCCCGGGAACTCTATCGTCGGCCCACGTTCTTGGATTTTCGCACGTCCTTCCTGCCCAGAGATCGGAACATTCCGACGGACACGATAAAGAAAAACGAGCTCGGAAACTGATGACCGATCGTAGCCTGAGGACGGACGAGTGGTTTGAAACAAAGTTTCTGTTTCGCATCGATTCACAGCGGGACTTGATTGATCATGCCGGGACTTGTTGTGGCCGTAATTCCTCTCGACTCGTGTATGAAAACTGAGACTTTCAATTTGAATGAGTTTTCCGAACTGGAATCTCGAAGCTGGAAGTAAGCTTCTCCCTCCCGATGAAAATAGGAGCCGGTCGATACCGAGCGCTCACTGCGGGAGTCTGTGAGTGCTGAGAGGCAAACGGGAACATGTTATGTCTCGAGTGTGAGAAATGGCTTCAAGCGCACTAACCAGTCCACTAGGCGAACAGCGAGCGAGAGCCAGAGAGAAATGCGCCAATGAACGCTCGATTTCTCAAGATGATAGATGACAGAGAGAACGCCTGAGAACCAGATGATCATATGTTATAAGAAGCGAAACGAGCTCGGTTGTAGCGGACTCTGAGTTTTGGGTGACAGTTGTAGTCGGCTGCATAAACACTAGCGATCGAAACAAAAAAAACTCATGTGAGAATTTTGTTTGCTTTAATTGATCACGAGGTCGTGATCGTCGACGCTGGCGTTGACAACAAGACCGATCACCATCGGACCCTCGTTCTCGGATTTTGATGATCACTAAGGGTGATCGACTCGACGCGGTACGATGCGCGGGCTCAGTGGATACTTACTGAATACACCTTCGATTGCCGCGAAGAAGGCGAGTGCGCGATCCACGTCTGAATTAATATTCTGACATCCTCCGAAAACGACACAGCGCCCATGATAGGGGCGGGCGCCCCAGCCCCCGTTCTGGATACGCAGACGATGGGGGACGACAAGAATTCTGCGAGGGATGGGGCAGTGAGATACGTCGGATACCGTAACAGGGTAGCTCCTGGGATCGGAAACCTCTGGGGAAAGTGCTCGCGATATTATCTAAGCATCTCGGGAGAACTATCGAAAGGAAACTGCGGGCGGTTTTGGTCGTGGCATTGTTTGTTCCGTTTGTATCTGTGCTCAGGCAGTGAATTAGCGGCAGCGGTTTTCTCTCCGCAGAACAGAGCGCTCTCTCTGTTTGTGGATAGGGACGCTTGTCAATAGCATCATTTCTCTGAGCGACACTTCGTTTGTTGTGGGACGCGCCTTCTGCTTGCGGCTGCTCAGGCTATGGCCGCGCCGCTGCCACCATAGCTAGAGTCTGTCTAGAACGAGTGACTGAAAGAGATGGAGCGGCTTTTCTTTTCAATGAGCTCGGTCAACCGTTGCCTCCTTCTGTCTCGATCTATCGGTTCCCTTGCCGCCAGCATCACGGACATACAGGGCGTCTGGGTGCCGCTGCCGCTATGGTGCGTCTCCTCGTCCTGCTGCTCAACTCCTCGAAGCCGAAGTGAGCAAACTCGAGAGCAACCTCGGCGCCACCACCATAAGCACACCATTGATGAAGACTCCCGAGCTACCGTTCAAATACTCGGACTCGTATCGCATTCATAAGCGGCTGGGGGTTCAAACTTCTGTAGCGACAACGCTTGACGATTACCGCCAGCAACCGCGTTGGGGTTCGGGTGAACCCCCGAACAAGCTGACTGAGCGAGAGGCTCTTGTGTGTCTCACACACAGGTGGACGAATGAAGCGTCTTTCGAATTGAATAGAGACTCACTCGAGAATTACCGACCGCGACTCCGAGCCCGCCAAAACTCAGAGATTCCAACGGACCGCTATATTGGATCCCATCGAGATATGCGCGACTTGTTGCGATTTGACTTCGTTCATAGCCCGCCGAACGTTGTGATCGATCAAGTGTTGACACTCCGAACGTCTCGATCCACCGGTGGTACGGCCAGCGTCGAGAAATTGAGCGGGAGACGATGCCGGATCTCGATGATTCAGTGGTGAATGGAAGAACACGAGATAATGAATTGGGAATGCATCGAGGCATAAGCCGACAATCGACCGAGTACATATACAGGATCGAGAAGGGGGGGACGGGACGGAGGAAGGGAAGAGAAACCGGATGAAACAATCAGCGAAGGGCACTCGTCGCACTCATAAATCACAACGTATCCGCAAGACATCTGATTGCGGATTAAAGCTTCTCTCTCCGAATTGAAGTATAGCTGAGCGGCTCTCGGAGCTCAGCGGATATTTGCTCGGAGCCCCGAAAGCCCGAGAGAGAACACTGTCTGACTGACACGACCGCTAATTGGGAAGTCTGCGTGAATGTGAGCTTATTGCACAGTCGCTTCCGTGACCATCGCTCGAGGTTCTCATGGTCTTGAGTCCAACTTATTGGTCCTGATCGGATGTCGAATAATGCAATGATCGTCGTTCGAAACTCGAGTAGGACAGCAGTTGGACAGTCCCTCGCTGCCGCACCCTTTGCCGAAATTCTGAGTGAGTGATTGAGTGAGCTGGGCTTTCCCAGAACTCCGGAGCTCGAGATTTTTTGGCGATCCATGTAACTCACAGCAAGTTAGAGAAAGGCGCTATTGAGTGAATTATGTTTGTTGTGATGGTTTGTGGGTAGGTTGTCGCTACTTGGAGGAGTGTCTGG